CTCCTTCACTCTCCGTAAAAGCAATGGAAAAAATATCCTCAGGCAGGGATTAAAGAAAAACAAAACTGGAAACCCCAGCCATTCACCCCAATATCCGACCTCACCAAGCCCAGCGCCCCAGGACTCCCTACCCTCGGCGCGTGGCGTTGCGTCACCGCAGACCGGCCGCAATAGCCTCCACCGCCTTTTATTCGGCATCTTAACTGACCGTCAGCAGGAGCCCGTAAGGCGGCCTCCAGGCAAACGCGCCCCTCCTTGCGACGCCCGCTTTCCCTTTCCTCCCACTGAAGATAACAGCCAAGGTACAAAAGGCTCCAATACCTGGCGTAGGTATTCGACTCGCTCCTAATATTAACTGGGCGCCGCCCCATTTGATTCGAACCGTGTTAGAGGCTTGGAGGGCGTAGAAGGAGTTAGAGCTGCGTCATCTCTAACATCTCACCCTTAGGGGAACTCGTAAGAACAGCTACTGAACGTGAATTGGGAAGCGTCCTGGTATCTGGAAGATCCCCGGCTCCCTTCTGGTTGGAGGGGGTGCTTTACGCTCCAGGGGGCCCGAGCCGAGGACTCACACCTGGTCGTCCCTTCAGGTCCATCCTGCCCACAGGACAATCTGGGGAAACTGCCTTCTTTGCATCGTCAATAAAAAAAATGTCAAAATCGTGCCCTGGCCAGTGGACTCCGTGGCTGGAGCGCCAGCCCAAGCACCAGATGAATGTTCAGTGGATAAACCTCAGATTCCCGTTTCCGAGCCCACCAATCTTACCTGCTGGGGAACTGTGACTGCCGGCACGGTCAGGGCACTTTGATGTCAACGCACCCAGAAGTATCCGATGACAGATTGTCCATCCTGGTAAATGACGGCACTGGGTGAACTGTGTCAGTTCGATGTGGAGTTTGAGTCTCTGATGAACCCGAAACGCAGATTCTATCTGCCGTGGGCGAGCCCAAGGGGTCCTGAGATGACCTTTGTCGTGCCGGGTAAATGCACCAGGAAAACTCAAACTGCATCGCTGGTTTCGGACTCTTGAAGCACATCCTGCTTATAGCCACCTTCTGGGTTAACGCTGTGTGTTTTCTCTTCCCCAATTAGATATTTATCTTTGAAAACAACATCTATTACTGCGCACACGTCGGGAAGCAGGCCATCCGCGTGGTTTCCACCGGGAAGGAGGGAGTCATCTACAACGGCCTGAGCGACTGGCTGTATGAAGGTGAGACATGCCGAGCGGCCGGGGAGCGGGGCGGGGTGGTCGCCGTGGTTATGTGGTCGCCATGGTCATGTGGTCACCGTGGCATGTGGTCTCCGTGGTCATGTGGTCGCTGTGGTTGTGTGGTCTCTGTGGTCATGTGGTTACTGTGGTTGCAGGGTCCTCCATGGTCATGTGGCCACCATGGTTGCTGTGGTCATGTGGCCTCCGTGGTCATGTAGTCACTGTGGTTGTGTGGCCGCCACTGCCCCAGGTGGCGGTGGTTGTCTTTTCCTTTCACTTTAACTATACATTAAACTCCAGCTTCTTGAGCTTCTGCTAAATTAAAAAGATGCTGTTGGGGCTTCAGGGTGCATCAGGCTGTGGGCAGGAACCTGGAGCGTCAAGCGCTCACCTGGTGGCCAGGTGTGCAGGCGTCCAGGACCCAAGCCCTCCGGCTCCAGGGCAGGAGGCGCTATAGCGGGAGGCGTGTTGTACCAGGAGGTGACGTCTGGGGACACTGGAATAGGCACAGGTTCCTGACTCTCACTCCAACAGGTCCAGTGACTTGTGCCTTGAGGCCGGCAGAGTTGGGAAAGAAATAACAGGTGAAAGCTCCCGAGAGGAGCCAACCGAGTGAGTCGCCGTCCGGGGTCCTTGCCTTGCGGGACGCTTCCTACCACTGGGTGTCCTCTGGGATGAGAGGACCCCAGCCGTGTGTGGGATTAAATAACTAGGAATCGGAGCCAGGAGCTCTGTTCTTAACATTTGTCATCTGCCTCCCCGCTCGCGAGACCGTCCCACCGCGTACTGGTCGCTGTTCGGGCCGAGCACTGTGTCTCTGTTTCCTCACTAACCCTCCTCAGTGCGTCTGTAACAGAACATCTCAGACAGGCGGCCTGAGCGACACACCGATTCCTCACAGCCCTGGAGGCCGATCGTCCAAGATCAGGGTGTGGGGACGTAGGGCCATGAGGGTCCTCAGACCCCGTGTCCTCCTGCCCGCCAGAGGCCACGTGGGCACAGCGAGCGCTCAGCACCGGGCGGCCCAGGGAGCCAGGGGTACCCTGGGCGTTATGAAGCCCAGACACTGTCGTTCCTCCCCAGCGCCATGCATTCTGCGAGCTGGGATCCTGCATTGCAGGGACTTCATGTGCCACCGGAGCATTAATTCCCATTGTAATGTCACTAAAAACACTGAGGCATGAAGTGCTAGGGCTTGGCCTCTAATTTTTTGTGGGCTTTTTTTTTTTTTTTGGTTAATTCTCACCTGAGGATATTTTTTTCCATTGATTTTCTTTTTTAGAAAGAGTGGAAGGGAAGAAGGGAAGGGAGAGAAACATCAATGTAAAAGAGAGACATTGATTGGTCGCCTCCTGCATGTGCTCGGTTGTTCTGCGCCCAGATCTCCCAACACGGATAACACGGCAACAGAGGACGCTTAGCGAGAGATGGGGGAGCGAGCGTGTGTGTGACAGAGAGAGGAACAGGGGGCAGAGAGTCAGAAAAGACACACAGACAGAGAGAGGCCAAGAGACAGAGGGACAGAGAAATGAAATGTTAAAGTGTCTTCTTTATGGAAAAGATGGGAAAAATATAAAAAATATGACCAATAAAATAGCACTAAATACATATCTATCAACAATTGACCCTAAAAATCAAAATAAAGGAACAAGCAGGACAGAAGCAGACTTGGATACAGAGAACATTTTGATGGTTGCCAGAGGGGTGGGGGTTGGGGGCCGGGTGCAAAGGTGGAGGGATTGAGGGCGACAGATCGGCGGTTACGGGACAGTCACGGGATGTAAAGTCCAGCACAGGGGAGAGTGTCAGTGATATTCTAATAACTATGGATGGTGCCAGGGGGGTGGGAGATTTGTCGGGGTGATCACTTAGTATGTGATGTCTAATCAATGGGGTGTACACCTGAAACTAATATAATATTGCGTGTCAACTATAATTGAAAAATTAAAAATGATTTTTAAAATCTTTAATATAAAAAAACAAAGAGGGACAGAGGGAGACCAGAAAGGCACACAGAGAGAGACGGAGACAGAGGCAGACTCAGAGAGAGGCGGATTTCCGCGAAGCCGCTCAGATACCCACTATAACCAAAATTTGAGGACCTACAATTTATTTGTCTGCAACATCTCTATCTCCACTGGCATTGCTGGAGTCGTAAAATACTGTCCTTCATGCCCGGCTGGCGTGGCTCAGTGGTTGAGCATCGATCTATGAACCTGGAGGTCAGGGTTCGATTCCCGGTCAGGGCGCAGGCCCGGGCTGCGGGCTCCATCCCCAGTGGGGGGCGTGCAGGGGGCAGCCGGTCCATGACTCTCATCATCGATGTTTCTCTCCCCCTCCCTTCCTCTCTCTCTAAAAAAATCAATAAAAACATGTTTTAAAAAATGCTGTCCTTTGTGTAGAAAGATACAAGGGACCTGCCCTCCTCAGTGGCGTGTGGCCCGTTGCCTGTGATTGGCAGGTGCACTTGCCGGTTGCCATCTGCACGTCCGGGGCCTCCCTGTGGGTCCGTACGCGGCGGGCTAGCTGGGCGCCGTGGAGGGTCCTGGGCTGCCCACCCAGGAAAGCGGCGTCTTGAAAATGTCCCACGTTCACGCCTCCAGCCACAGAGAGAAGCATTTCTTATCTTTTGCCCCCAGTACGAAAAATTTAAAAAGCACAGTAGAATTGCGGCACCTGTCAGGACGCTTGGAGGGACTTCATGTCAGCAGCAGCCAGGGAGGGGCCGAGATGCCCACCCGCCAGCCATCCCCTCCTGCCAGCCGTGGGGGGGACGCTGCCCCCTGGTGGCCGACCGCGCGCGGGCTGCCTGGCTCCCCAGCGCGGGGTGGGTTTGGGGAACTGGCAGGTCTCTGACACAAGGAGCCGCTGGGTGTGGAATATGCGAATCCCGGCGCCCATTGGCATCGATGGGGGGCAGCTAGCGTCCCAAGGCAGCAGCTCCATTTGCCGCCGGGCCTGAGGCGCCCTCGTTTCTTTTTTAGCCCCCCCCCCATTTAATTCTACTCTCAGCACCTGTTAAAATATTTAGCGGCAGGAAAAAAGGCAGCAGGTGCAAGCGGGAATACGTCAGAGATTCTGTATTTAGAACGAGGCCGTTTATTTCCAGGTGCGGGTCTATCAGGTGTGCTGTTTATGTATTTTGCCATTTTCTGGGATTTCTCGGGGCACTTTGATTTTCTCCAGTACGTAGGGCCCTGGGGTGGGGGGAGCGGGCGCTTATGAGCGGACCGGCGCCACGGGGCCGTTTCCTTCAGGAGCGTGCCCGCTCGGCCCGTCGCGCTGTGGGCGCCCTGTTCCGATGTGTATCTTGCCTCATTAAAAGATGACAGTCGGCAGTGCGGATGTGACTCGGGCAGATGGCGTCACCAAGTGTTGACCGGCTGCCTGAGCTGCCAGGCTGTGCGGAGTGGAACAGGAGGCCGGCCGCGCGTGGTCTGGCTCTCTGGCCAGGCTGCCGTGTCCTGGGAACAGCGTGAGCCCGGAATCAGGAGCCTGAGACCCCTCGGCCCCGGGCTTCTGGGTAAATAACCGGTCTCCTGGCCAAGGCCTCACGGCTGGAGTGGGCGTGGAGCCGGAGCAAGGCTCTGACACTTCCTTTGAGCGAGTTTCCAACGTTCCTGGGCCTCGACTCTCCCCTCTGTAAAATGGGCTCACACACTCGGACGGAGAACGTGGCCCTGCCCCTCCCACGAGGCTGTGGCGGAGCTCGGAGAACACGGGGCACCTTTGTCCCAAAGTCAGGGCGTTGGCCGGTGAGCACTGCTGTCCCCGCAGGGTTTGGCAGGGAGAGAGGAGGAAGGCCGGGTGCAGGAAGATAAACTCAGGGCAGGCGCTGAGGGTCGGTGAGAGGCGGGGGCTGAGCAGGGCCCTGTCTCCACGGGAGACGTTTGCGGAGCACTTCCTGTGGCTCCGCACTTGTTTTTGTTAATCTTCACCTGAGGGTGTTTTTTCCATTGATTCTTAGAGAGAGTGGAAGGGAGGGAGAGAGAGAGACATTGAGGAGAGAGAGACATTGAGGTGAGAGAGACGCATCGAGCGGTTGCCTCCCCTACAAGTCCCGACTGGGGCCGGAAATAGGACCTGCAACGCAGGTGGGTGCCCTTGACCAGGAATTGAACCCACGACCCTCCTGTGCACAGGCTGACTCTCTGTCCACCGAGCCTCACCGGCCAGGGCTCAATCTATGGCTCATTTGAAAGCAGAGGGAGGGCCCTAAGCGTGTGAGACCCAGCAGGTCCTCAGTAAGTCACCAGAAATGTCCCCAAGTTAAACCCACCAGGTGTCCACCCAGGCAGCTGATGCCACCTGGGCAGCTGTTCTCAAAGGAAGGGCCGGGGTTGAGGGCGGTGGCTCCACCGGGTCGTCCTCTCTCCCCTTTCTGTCCTTGTCACGTGCACAGCCCGTGTCCGAGGAAGAGCGTCCAGCTCAGGCTCATGCCCGGCTTGGAGCAGGATTTAAAGCTCGAGTCCCATGCAATGGTGACCTTGCCTCTTTAGCCTCATAATGTTTCATCCACGGGGCTGCTGCAGTCCAAGGCGATGGCCACAGTCCCAGGAAATTCGGAGAATGGAGCGAGTGGGGACAGCCTGTCAGGAATGGCTTATCCCGCGCTCGGGGACCTGCCTGGCCCTGCCACCTCTGCTTCCCCTGAATCTCCGCCTGCATCTCACGAACAGCAAGGCGACACCTTACGACCAGCTGTGACCCAGTGTGGCCACGGGGACACCCCCCTTCAGTCAGAATCCCGGGGCTGCCCCCGGGCGGTCAGGATGTGTCCGTACAAGTCGAACAACAGGAGGGGCCGAAATGAACAACTGGGTGCGGTTGAGTGTAGAGCCCGTTCCGAGGGTTGTTTGTAACTTACCGTCGATTCACCTGCCGTTAAAAAAATGAACAAAACTCGAAGCCTAATTTCCTGCCTGACACACCTTGCTTTTGCCGCGCATTATTTTCAAAATACGCTTTCACGGGTATTAAGAAATAATTATGCAGCACAGCTCTGGCCGAGTAAGGCGAGTTCAGCTCTGGGAGGGTTCTCTTTGGAAAACGTGTTACGATGAGCTTTCCTGGGATGCACCCTAAGAGGAAATATGAATCCCGCCATAAAATTGTAAAACAAAAGCCAGGGTACAAAGGAAATGCTACATATAATTTTGCTCTGTGGTAAAAAAAAAATTTTTTTTTTAAATCTAATTTTCAGCCCAGCGTTTGACCCACGAACCAGGAGGTCAGGGTTCGATTCCCGGTCAGGGCACAGGCCCGGGTGCAGGCCCCTCGATCCCCAGCAGGGGGCGAGCAGGAGGCAGCCGATCCATGACTCTCATCACTGATGTTTCTCTCTCTCCCTCTCCCTTCCTCTTTTGAAATCAATAAAAACATATTTTTAAAAAAATTCTAACTTTCAGAAGAAGACAAAATAAAGTCAGCACTTTTGAGAAACGCTTCGTACACACAGACGGTGGTTTCTCTCCGTCAGTGGCTCGCTCAGTCTCCAATTAAAATTCCAACCTCAGAATCTCGATCGTCTTAACTTTCTTGTGACTATTAATGCGATGACCGGCTTTGGGAGAACATCTAACTGTCTGAGGAAATTAAAGATCGTTACAGGGTTGATAACACGTTTTGCCTAAGACACTAAACCAATCTCTCTGCGCAGATTATTAAATTAACGTCGAGGTCAGAGTATTATGGCGGATTTTCCTCGTGTTTCGTACGTTGGACACGTTTCAGGGGCTGAATTTAAAACGATGTTTGGTGGCTCTGGCAGGTGGGTCTCAGTGGTTAGAGCGTCAAAGGGCTGGAGGGTTTGCGTCCCGGTCAAGGGCACGTGCCTGGGTTTCAGGCTTGAACCCCGGTCCCCCTGCAGGGCGCATGCGGGGAGGCAGCCAATCGATGTCTCTCTCTCTCTCTCAAATCAATAAACATATCCTCAGGTGAGGATTAAAAGAAACGAAAAGCGATGAAGACAAGTGGGGGTTGTTTGTTTGGGCTCTTTTGTTGAGAAGAGATGGAATTTTTGCAGACCTTTCCTTTCCTCCGGTTCTGTTGCTCGGGTCACCGTGAAATAATAACCCTCCGCGGCGCAATCCTCATCCAGTTCAGAAGCGCTTGTTAGGTTCACACGCTCAAATTGTGTCCAAAAAAAAAAATGGTTTCTGGAAAATCAGCCTCCGTCCGCTTGGGCCCCGATCGTTCGGGTCTCATGGTGCTGAGCTCGGTGCCAGCACCGGGCGCTTCTGGGCCCCGTGGCAGGGGGGCGAGGGCAGGGCCCAGGGGAGACCTCGCAGGGCTGTGGCATTGCCATGTCCCGGGACCCAGGGGTCCAGGTCTCCTGGCATGTCCCTCGCTGGACCCCACTCCCGGGGCTGACGGTTCACATCTCTCCGCCTTGTCTTCCCTCAGAGGAGATCCTGAAGACCCACATCGCCCACTGGTGGTCTCCGGACGGCACGAGGCTCGCCTACGCCACCATCAATGACTCCCGCGTGCCTGTCATGGAGCTCCCGACCTACACGGGCGCCACGTACCCCACAGTGAAGCTCTACCACTACCCCAAGGTAGGCCAGAGGCCACGGCAGCAAACCACGGTGTCCCTGCGCCCCCCACCCGGCGCCCTGAGTGCAGGGCGGCGACCCGCAGACGTGCTGGGAGCCACGCGGCCAACGGAGGCAGGATGCGTTATTGCCCTTCACGCCCCGTCAGCTGAGTCCAATCTGTTGGCACATTTACTTTATTTGAAATGATTGAGTTGCCGTTGATCTTTTGTCTGCGCTCTGTCCGAACCAGAATAAATGCATCCCCTCCCCTTGTGATTCCAGGTGACAAAAACTCACACCGCCCACCCTTGGGACGCTCGTTCCGTGTTCCGTTTCTAGGGTTTGGCTCCTGGGAGGTCAGAGGGCCCCGTCTGCCCCTGGCCCCTGGATCCCCACTGGGCTGCTTTGCGCTTGGTCATGTCGTGGCCGGGAGTGTGTCTAACGGCATCTCAGGCCACAGTGCCAGTCCCCGGAGCCAGCCAGAGATGAGGGCATGGTGGGGGGCACAGGGGCCGGCATCCAGCCTCGTTCCATTAGCAAATTAGAGCAGGGCGGTGCCAGGGGAGGACCTGACCCCAAACCTCTCCTGCCCACTCGGTGAGACAGATGGTGCCCGGGAGAGTGGGTGCAGCTCCCGTGGACGCACACCGGCAGCTGTCCCGCTGCCCACGGGCGGCCCCAGGCCCCTGCACCCGCCTGGGAGGGCGCCCACTTCCCCCTGGGGCTGCTCTGAAGGACCCCTCCAGCCTCCGTCGCACAGCACCGAGCCCAGCTGCCCATGTCATCAGGTGCCCGAGGGCCTCCCCGAATCGATCGTGTCCCGGTGAGCCAGCCAGGGGCCGACGGGAGACGCCTGGGGTCTCAGTCCCTCGGACAGGGCATGGTGGGGGACATGGTGGCGGCACACACAACACCCGGAGGCCTGAGCAACGGCCGTTCGTTTCTCTCGTGTCTGCGGGCTGGGAGTCCAGCCGGGTGCCAGTGCGCTCAGGCTCTGCTGAGACCCTCTTTCGGTTTCAGGTGGCCGCACTCCTGTGTCCCCACGTGGCGGGGAGCTGTGGTCTCCTCCTCTCCTCCTAAGGACACGGACCCCCTCGTGGGGCCCCACCCTCACGACCTCACCTGACCCGGTGACCTCCCAAAGGCCCCGCCTGCCTGCAGATACCGCCCCGGGGGGCCCTGGGCCCCACATTTTCACCCGGGAGGGACACCGACGTTCAGGCCACAGCAGCTGGTAGGACAGACCCGTTTGCCACGGCTCTTTGGTCCGTGTGGCCAGGGTTCTGCGAGGTCCCAGGTGGAGAAGCATGACNAGGGACACCGACGTTCAGGCCACAGCAGCTGGTAGGACAGACCCGTTTGCCACGGCTCTTTGGTCCGTGTGGCCAGGGTCCTGCGAGGTCCCAGGTGGAGAAGCGTGATCCCTGGCGATTCCTGAGGCCGGGGCCTTTGTCTCTGCCGTTTTCCCACCCTGAGGGCACCTGGATGTCGGTGCGGGACTTGGATTTGCCTTCGGACAGGATTCCTTCCCTCCCGTTCCAGCTTGTCGCTCACTAAAGCCCCGTGGAAGGGCCCAGGGTGGTAGCCGGGCACACGTTTGAGTAGAGTGTGCTGGACGATGCCTAGTCTCTCAACCAGCCTACATGCCCACCACGCACACACACACACACGTATACACACACACACGCACATGCGCATACAAACACACATACACACACACACAGCCAGGGCTGTCTGACCTTCATCGGACCACTCACAGATAGAATGGTTTCCAGGTTAACCCTTTTATGGGTGTCCCTTCAATCTAGGAGTGGTGACCTTGATCTTACAGTGATGACCTTGATCTTACAGTGATGACTTTGCTCTTACAGTGAGGACCTTGGTCTTACAGTGAGGACTTGGTCTTTATAGAGATGACCTTGATCTTACAGTGATGACCTTGGCCTTACAGTGATAAGCCTGCTTTTACAGTGATGTCCTTGGTTTTATAGAGATGACCTTGACCTTACAGTGAGCTCTGGGACAGGTGCTCAGAAGTCAGACCGATGAAACCCCAGATCCCTCAGAGCCTGAGGTTTCATGTTTTAACAGAAAGTCACCGTATCCTGGCCCACAGGACTCAGGCGCCCTTGGGCCCGTAACGCCTTCCCCCAAGTCAGAGCCATGAACCGGGGGTCCCCCGGGACTGCCTGTCACGCGGATCCCCTCATCACCCTGAACTTCTCCCCCTGCGGGGAGCCCAGGGAGCCAGGGCATCAGTCTGACCCACCGTCCGGCTGACGGTGCAGAGCCACCGCCCTTCCAGCTGGTGCCACTTGTCCCCAGGGCGGAGGGAGCAGAGGGGGAGCAGAGAGGACGTCCCATTCCCTTCAAAGGGCTGTGTTTGCCCCACGCCTGGGCGTCGCTAACCCCCCCACTTCCAGGACTTTCTCTCCCCACCTAGTTTCTCTCCAGCTCCCGGCGGTTAAGCGAGTGGACTGGCGCTCACCCGGCGTTGACGGGCGGGGGCGGTGGGTGCAGCGAGGAGGGGCCGGGCTTCCGCGCGGAGGAGGAACCGTCTCCGGGTTACCTCTCCCCCATCCACGCGGGAACACCCCGCCCTCGGCGCTGAGCTCGGGGTCCCGGAGCCTGCGACTGCCCTGGGGGGACCTCACAGGGCTCGGGCACCGTCCAGGCCGCGGGCGGCCTCACATTCCTGTCCTTTTGTCCGCCCCAGGCCGGATGTGAAAACCCCAGTATCTCCCTGCATGTCATCGGCTTAAACGGACCCACCCACGACCTGGAGATGATGCCGCCGGAGGACCCACGGATGAGGTTTGTTTCCCTCTCTCTGACGTCAGGGAACAGTCATAACGAGATGCACTGTTACTGTTGGATTTGCGGGGCCTCCTCAGGCGCCGATGTATTTTACTGCTAATGCCAACATCTAAGAAAAGGGGCAGTTACCCCAAGTTTCCCGTGTGCTTCATCAGTTTATTGGGCGGGAGCCCCAGTCCCACCCGTCCGACCGCTTCTCGCCTGCGTCGGGCGTCCTTCCTCCTACCGGGACCGCCCGGGTCCGGCAGGGGGCGACCGACACCATCTTTCCCCGAAAGTCCACGTAATCACGCTTTCTGTCCACGGCGCCCCGATTTTAGAGCCTCATTCAGAGCATCGCTGTACCCCCTGGCTCGGGGGGCGGGCCAGCGGCTCCTGCTCCCGAGCACCCCTCCCAGATGGCGAGGTCCCCGCCCAGCAGCGGGGGGGCATTTGACACAGATAACGACCCTGTTATTAGCAACGGCTGGTTTAGGTGGATTTTTTTTTTTTTTAAATCAAAACATGCTGAGAAGCATCTATCAGAGTGAAGTGGTCTGAATATCAGTTTTGTTTCGTCCCAAAGCTCCAGGAGCCTGGAGAGGTATTAACTTCCCACTTAGGTCCTGAAACCTTCCTGTTGAGAATGTTAATAAGGACCGGCCGGGGGTGCGGGGGAGAGGGGGGCGTTGGTCCGGCACCAGGGCCCTCTCATCCCCGCGAGTCTATAAAAACGGGCCCCTTGAGGCCAGAAGTGATTCCTTCTGCGACTCGGCAAACACCCCAAACCCAAATTTTGCCACCACTCCGGCCTGGGCCTTTACTGTCCAATTACAAACCCCAGGGTGTCGGTAGCTTCTGGAAGCTTCCGGAAGGGCAGGACCCGGGGCCCAGGCAGAGGGGTGTGAGTGATGTCATCTGCACGGTGACACCCACGGTCAGCCCGTCAGCCCACATCCCGGAAGGCAGAGGTCTCTGTGGGATTCTACAGGGGGTTTCGAAGACCGAACCCCCCGCGTCGGCGCCCGCCCTGGACTGGGCCCCCTCCTGCAGCCGATCCCCCGGCCTGACCCCCGCGGCCCCTCCTTGGGGAGCAGTGGGGGGGGGTTCAGACCCACTCGGCTGGTCCTGTTTTTGCTGGGGTGGGAGAGACGCTCGGCTCATTGCTGTGCCCTCTCCCGACGCCCGTAGATGCCCCGGCCTCCCCGCGGCCCCAGCCCCGCCTGGCCCCCCGAGGCCGGTCCCGCCACCTCGCCCAGTTAATGCGGAGAGTCACCTGGAAAATGTAAGCCATCTGCTGCGGTTAATTGGAAATCTCATTTAGCCAATTTGGTGGTGCTGTTTCCGCAGGCTTGATTAGCTTCAAGGACAGTGAAAAATCGGCCTCCGTCCGTCCGAGCCCGAGGTTCGGGGGCCGCCTTCAGGCGCTGGCTCCCTCTCGCGTCCTAAGCTGGCGGGGACCATGGCTTTCCTGCGCAGCGCAAGGCTAGTCGTGCGCGGCCCCCGGGCATTGTCAAGCCCGTCCTCCGTCACCCTCCCTCCGACTTCCCCCGAGGGAGCTCAGGTTTCTCAGACCGAGGGGGCGGTGGGGACGGGAGCAGAGGCCTGGGTGCGGAGGGAGATGGGCTGGGGCAGGTCCTCACAGGCGAGCGCGTGATTGCAGGTGCGAGGGGGCCCTGAAGCATGGAGCCGGCCCTGCCCGCGGGGCCGGAGCGTCCGCCCGAGCACCGCAGGGTCGCAGGGTCGCAGGTTCCCTTCCCCGTCCAGGGGCTCCCGGGTTAGTAAGGGAACCGCGAGGCGTTAGAACCGGCCCACAGGCGTCGGAGAAGCCGGCGGACAGGGCCCGCTGGACGGAGAAGTGTGAGCGGAAGCAGCTGGGTTATGGATCCAGCAGGGCCTCAGCCTTGGCCTCTGGGAAACGTCTGCCCCGCCGGCCGCAAGGCCCACACGACGTCCGCCCCGGGGGCGGGGGCCACGCCCAGCCCTGGAGGAGCACCGGGCACCCAGTTTGCCTCCTGCTGGTTTAGGCTCAACGCCCCGACGGTCTCTAAACGGCGTCCCAACAGCAGCCCGCAGACAGGGCCACGCGCCTGCGGCGCCCGGGGGCCACGCTCCGTCACGGGGAGCCCCGGAGAGTCCGTGTCATTTCATTCTGCTCGACGACCCCTTTTCATGAAACAACATTTTTTTTTTTTTTTTTAATCTGTCGCTCAAGGGACTTCTTTGCTCCGGCTCGATCCATGGAATAAACCGTGTTTTTAAAATGCCAGCGTTCGTCGCGGGCTCTGTTTCGGTAAACAAGCCTTTTGTTCCTTGCCCTTTATTGGCACAGGACTGTCGGAAGCTCAGCCAGAATTCGGAACAGCAAGAAGTGACAGGCACATTAGTCCCCTCAGGAGGGACGACACTCCATCAATATTTCATGGCAAGCAAATGGGCTGATAAAAAATTCACACGCGCTCGCCGGGAGCCCTGTGGCCTGATCTGAAGGCGCCTCTGGCTGGAGATTGAGGGACGTCGACAGGTCCTCTCAGCCAAGCAGGGCTCCTCTTTTCTTTTCTAAATTACAGATGTTCCCCTTTCCCCCCATTAACCCCTCCTGCCCTCCACCTGCCCTGCCCAGGCCCCCCCCACTGTTCCCTGTCCGTGGGTCACGCACGTACGCATGTAGGTTCTTCGGTTAATCTCTCCCCCTGAGACCTGCCAGTCTGCTCCGTGTCTCCATGTCTCTGGGCCTGTTTTGTTCATCGGTTTATTTTGTTCATTAGAGTCCACATTTGAGTGAGATCCTGTGACACTTGTCTTTCTCTGCCTGGCTGCTTTCACTTAGCATAATGCTCTCCGGGTCCCCCCGTGCCGTCCCAAAGGGTGAGGGACCCCTCTTTACAGCTGCGTAGTGTCCACGGTGTGAATGTCCCCCAGCTTTCTATCCATCACCTACTGAGGGGCGCTCGGGCTGTGTCCAGATCTCAGCTATTGTAAACTGTGCTGCTATGAGCATCGGGGAGCATAGATTCTTTCTGATTGGCATTTCGGGATTCTTAGGATATATTCCTAGCGGTGGGATCGCTGGGCCAAAAGGCAGCCCCATTTTTAATTTTTTGAGGCCCCTCCCCACTGTTTCCACAGTGGCTGTGCCCGTCTGCATCCCCCGCAGCGCCCGGGCTCCCCTTCCCCCCCCGCACCTGTCGCTTGTTGCCGTGTTGATGGAGCCACTCGGGCAGGTGCGAGGTGAGGCCTCGTTGTGGGTTTAACCTGCGTCTCTGCTGATTAGCGACGCTGAGCATTTTCTCACGCGTCTCTTGGCACCTGTGTGTCGTCTTTGGCGAAGGGTTGATTCAGGGCCTCTGCCCGTTTGCCTTCCCCTCGCTGAGCTGTGTGAGCGAAGATTCCTGGGGGGTCCGGGCCCCTCCATGTGCTTCCCCCCGGCACAGGGTCCTCACCTGGCTGCAGGTTGGGGGTCGCTGGCCTGTCTCCCCACCAGCCGCCCGGCGGCCGCGGCGCCCTGAGCCCCGAGCGCTCCTGGAACCCGTCTGTGTGCTTGTGGGCAGGTAAAGTGCTTTAGGACCAAAGAGAAAATTAGCGCCGTGTCCTCCGGGAATCTCTGCTTCCTGCTAACACTTCGGGGGCACGTTCTTTCTGAAATGCAGCTTCTATGAGTCTCAAAATACGACAACTTATTTTCAAAGAGCTTCGGCATCGCCTGGCACCTGGACACTGGATCAGTCCCGCGTCCCTCAGAGCCCGGCTCCGCGCACCTTCCTGATCACCTGCTTCCAACCCTGTTTTCTCCTCGGCTTTAACTGCGGCCAAATTTCTCTTTACTTGAGGAGCTCACCTG